GCATTTTTACAGCAACAGTTTTTTTAAGTGACCACAGCATTTGGTTTGTGTAGTTTTTTCCCCTTAGTTTTTGCATATTTTAGCAGGATTACTTAATTTTGTCTTTTTGAATTTATACTTTTACATACTGTACTGTACAGGTTCACGTCATGGATAGTATGTAAAGATGGATGGCATGACAGCTAATAAAAGTGAAGCCAAAGCGTGCATGGTGGCTGACTGCAGTATAGGTTCCAGTTTGGGACCTGAGCCAAACGAAAAGTGTAAATATACGTAGAATAAATGTTTTTAATTGTATGTAGTTCTAGTCACACTGATGTATGCCCACGTGTTAAATGTTCTTCTTAGTTTGGTTTTAAGTGCTTACTTGATGCTATAAAAATGAGATGAAACATCATGATTGACAGCTGAGACTGACTCAGGCTCTAAATGACATCAAAAAGGCAAGATGGCTGCACCCGTATCTGTGATATTGAGGCTTAATTTTTGTGCAACAGGAGGAAGCAGAGACTCTTCTTCCATCTGTAAATACTATGATAGAGAGTATCGCAGTGAATTATAAACTCCCCCACAATTGCTGCAGTCACCCTCAGTCTAATCAGTAATGATTGTGATGTGACCTTGAGGAATAATCACTCTGTCAGATAAACAGGGAGATGGAGAGAGAGATACACCACTGGTGGGTTGGCAGGCTGGCTGAGCATTGGCTGTCCTTTTTCTAAAGGATTCGGCACAAATAGAGTAATGTTGGCTGGGCGTGCGACTCGTTTCTCTGGGTCCTTACGATACTTTCACCTCAGCAAAACACTGATGATTTCCTCTTTAGGTCCGCACTTTCCTGGGCCAGATATGCAGATCTGTGCAGACACTTGACACCAGAGCTAACAACATTTGATAATGTTGTCAGCAGACCAGCAGGACAGACTCACTGCAGTGCAGAGGGATTTCACGAGCTTTGACCAGGACACCAATTTCATGCCGATATAAGTAAAAAGGAACGAATCTTCAATTTGGCATTGACCACACAAAGTCAGGCCATAAACCAAGTCTTGTTTGAATGTAGTAACACCAAGACTGACAAGCTCAGCAGGAATTCTAACAAACACTTTTAACAAGTCATATTTAATGTTTAATGTGTGTCTTGTGTATTTTTCCTTCATGGAAAAGTGGCTTACACAAATGAAACCCTCCCCTCAAAAAAGACGGTAGGAGGAAAATTGAAAGCCAGAGCAGAGTAAGAGGAGTGTATCTGTAATTACATTTTACACCAAGGAGAGCAGGAAGTCAGGCAGAATTGGCCTCATCAGCAGAATCCTGGGAAATGCTCACTAGTCACTGTACGACCTCTGACCTCCCGCTGTCTGCCAGCACTTCACTAGCCACAGGGTTCAGGCTGCTGCAGAGAGCATGCCATGGCCTCCATCCTAAACTTCAACCAGCAGTAGGGAGGAAGACAAGACTCATCGGTCAATCAGTGTTTATGAGAGGTGTCATCCTCAACCTCCCTCAGCCTGCATCACTACACTACCCAGCATGCCGAGCGCTATGCCAGCTGGACTGCAGCCCCGCGGTTGCAAAGTCTCTTTCGGCAGTGCAGTTTGTTTTTGTTTCTGTTGTTTTTTTGTTTTGCTTTTAAAAAATCTCTCCCCTCTTTTCCTGTCATCTCCTCTCCCTCTCATATCTCCTTCCTCTCCTCTTCTCTCCATGTCCTCTCCATCTTCTTCTATTTTCCTCTCCTCTCCCATCATGCATCTCTCTACATTAATGAAGTCTCTAATGTGTAATTTTACATTGTCTAAAGTTGCTCTGCTCTCTCTCCACGTCTCTGTTTGGCGGTTAGCTAAGATCTGTCGCCATGCTGCATATGCTGTTAATGAGCTCGTCTTGTTTATGATTTTACAGCAGGATGTGATAATTACACTGCAGATAGGAGTGTGAAATAATGGCTTTGTGTTTACTTCGCACTCTGCTCATATGCCGTAAACGTCATAACATGTGTGCTTGATAAGACACGTGTCATTCAAGTGTTTTGGAAAGTAATAATGTCTATGTTTTTGGCTAGAAATACCTTGCAAAGTGTTTCACTGATTAAAGCTTTTTTTAAAGCTGTAGCCTGGTGTGTGTGCTTGTCAGACAACAGAGTGGAAGAGAAGAGGATGCTGTAGTTTCTCCCTGGCTTTTCTCATTGATTCTCTGACAGCTCTATAATTAAAGCTCTATTATGATTTGTGTGTGTGTGTGTGTGAGAGAGAGAGAGAGAGAGAGGATGAATGCCATGGGTTTTGATGACTGTGAACTCGCTGTGGAGTCGCTGAATACTGAGTGGTATATTTAAATCTTTTGTCATGTAAAGAAGCATAAAACAAACATTTATCAAGAGCAGGGAAAGGAACAAAGGCAGCCCTTCTCAGTGTCAGAGCCCCATCTGCAAGTTTTCAGCTGACATTTCTGCCTCGACTTTTCTTCACGCCAACCTGCCACGCTATGACATTGACATCGACGCTGCTCTTTGACTCCAGATAAGTTTAATTAAAGCGAGATTTGCTCTCAGGTATACTCGGGCTTCCCTTTCAGGCGGGGTGCATAATTCACTGTAGTAAATTTCAGTTGCGGAATGAAGCTGAGTTGTCGTAGCATTTGTAATTTTGTGTCTTAAAAACATGTCCTGAATTAAGTTACACTTTCATGCTCCTCCAGTTTTTGGTGTCTGGCACTAATCGTATGCACATTCACTATGGTATATGCTATATTAGCATATAAGCTTACACAGCTAGCAAGTAGCCAACACAGTTATCGATGTCCGAGGATGATGTCATCAGGTTAACCTTGCTTCCACAACTTTACTTACACAGCCCAACGTCAGGCAAGCAGCACAAGATATAGTAAACAAGGGAAAGTTAGGACTTGTCCGGTAACAACAACACCAGGTTGGCATCTTTTCTGCTTCTTTTGACCTCTCTTAGCTCTCGAAATGTGCTCTGAGGTTCACTCCTGTTTGGTTTCTTACTCTGTCACTGTCTCCTTTGCTCATCTTCGTTTCTTCTGAGAATTTCTTCTTTGGTTTCTTTGTTGGCTCTGCAATGATGTGCATATGCCATAAATTAGTTCTTATTCCAGCAAGGTACATCAGAGTTACTGAGTGCAGTGCATTCTCCCTATTATAAGTTTGTGTCCCATCAAAATGAAGCTGTTATTTTACCCCTTTTACTTTCTAAGGGTTGATTTAAGAACTCCTGATGCAGACTATGGTCCAAACTGATTTTTGAAAACAGAAAATATTTTATGGTTATGTGGGGACAGACGTGGACATCTCATCGCATGCTTTAAGTTTGATTGATGTTCTATTCAGCTGTTTCCTGATATGTTGAAAACAGAAGATGAATTACAGTAATATGCATAGAATATCCATCATACGCACTTCGAAGAATAAGGCTGTTTATATTCGGTACTTTTCTTATTGTCATCAAATGCCATGACAAGATCAAAACCAGCGTTAAATTGATTCTACTGTATTTGTCTGTGAAGCCAAAGCCTGATGATAGTATAGTCTCCTGTGTCGCAGACCTCCATGAGGTGCATTCAAATCAGGAAATTTCTCCAGGGAACAGAGACTTTCTGAGGAACTCAGCACCCCTACTTGCCTTTCCTCTGGGACCAGGGTCCATATTAAATTCCAGGCAGTTCAATCCTCCAAAAAGTCCCTACTCAGGGGTTGTATTTTCTAAAGGCTGAGGAACCTTTGGGGAAGGTCTAGCAGCACTGACTGTAGCTGGTTCGTCATAAATGGTAGAATTCTCCTCAGCACTGTAAAAACATCCAACCTTAATAATCCCAATGCACAGAACAGTTTTTTTAAAACTTAAAAACAGATTGTCGGTAGAAGAAGACTGTATAACATGCTAGTGAGCCAAAAGATGACCGTCAAGCGTTTGTTACATCCCGCAGGAAACAAGCTTAATATTTCCCTGTTCTTCTTCTCCCTCTTGTTCTTGTGCTTCAGAACTTTGTCTTCTTCTGTGTTAGGAATGAAAAAAGCAATATACTGTCGGGAATTTTACCCTTACCCGCTACTGTACTGCTTTTGTTTTGGAACTGTTTAATTAACATTTACTGAAAACTTGGATATCCAGCTGATAATATAGTTAATATTTGAGACTTTTTTATAAGCCATTCTCTACCTAATCATGACTGAATGATAAACAAAACAAAAGTGCATTATAATATTTCAGATTAGTAATTGTTTGTTTTGTTTCACAGCTCAAATTGCAAACAGAGCAAATGAGGCTGAGTAGGAAATGTAGAAAGCCTCATGGTAAAACGCTGAAGAAGTTTATTTTAAAATACAAAGTGTGTGTTTGACATGAAGGATCAATCAATGTGCTAAAATCACAGTAGGTTTGTGCGACTCACTAAGACGAAAAATCACAGACATAAATGTGTTTTGTATTGGCTTCCACTAATCCTACTTTCCAAGTCATAATTTTACCAAAAGCAACAGGGGGTTTTGTACTAATTGATCTTTTATGACATGTCACAAATTAAAACAACTGTTGTAATCAGCTCCTGTTGGAAGCAAAGAAATGATAAAAACCCACAAAATACCTGACATATACAGAATGTGCCTCCTGTCATCACCTCTGGATGCCATTGACCTACCCGCCATTCCTCAGTGGGCTGACACACAATTGCTTTAAAGCTTTATCCAACAGTGAATGCACTGCCTGTTCACTTCCTAAATGTGTGTGTAGCTTTTCCCAGACAATTTTCTCTATTATGTGTGTGTGTGCGACTGCAGCAGTTGCTAACAGAGACGAGCATTCTATTGAAATGTTCAATTTACACACTTCTTATGGTCACTGTTATTATAGCAAGAGCTTAAACGATGTTTTCTTGCCTTGCAGACATTCTCAAATCTACTTTTACCTTTAAAAACATGTTCAAGAAGCAAAATCTTAATTTACGAGTGTTGTGATTATTATTATTTATTTATTCATTTTCAGAGTCTGTGCACCGCCACATGCAGCAGTACGAGGTGGAGTACCTGCAGTTTGCCTTCCGCTGGATGAACAACCTCCTGATGAGGGAGCTGCCACTGCGCTGCACCATCAGACTGTGGGACACCTACCAGGTACACACACACACAGCAAAACCACAGATATTTTGCCGTTTGTCATTTGTGAATTTCTATCTGGCTCTGCTTGTGGCCTGCTCAGGCAGAACACACAGATCACAGTTGCTACTTGATTCGTTGCTAACACATATGGAGTACAATAGTGCTCTTTTCATATATAGGAAGACTACAGGGGATGGAAAAAAGTTTAATAAAGAAGTAAAAGTTTGATAAATGTGAATGAAACAACATTTCTGGAGATTTACGGTTGAAGGAGAGAGAGAGACAAAGAGAGACACAGACAGAGAGAGAGAGAGAGACAAAGAGAGACAGAGACAACGAGAGAAAGTGTCAAAGTAAAGCCTATTACTGTGTTGACCTAGATGTGTAAATTAGCAGGATCTTAATCCCATTCAAACACATCTAGACCTGTTCATTCCGCTGCACTTTCACATTTACACATAGATTAATAGGCGGCACCTACGGTTATGCCAGATTGTTAACCTCGGTTGGTGTTGTCAATAACGCCTAATGTCTGCTATTGATTCAACGAGGTGTGTTTATATGCCGGGACATGTGTGGGTAGTCCAGGCCATGAGCTGAGTACATATAATGGATTTTCCAGTTGACACTGAGGTTGAGGGTGTAAAACATGTGATCACGTCAAAGCGTGTGATTTGATGAGGAGAGCGGAGAGTGGAAGAGCTGTTAGGGCTCAGGTAGGGTTTAAAATAAACATCTCCATTGGTGGCACACTCAGCTGTGCCAGGTGGTTGCACAAACATATGTAGAATGTTTCCTTCCTGCTGTCATCTCAACAACAGTGTCTGCAGCTGTTCTCACATCACCAGGTGGGTTTTAAAGCTTTTGAAGAAACTTTGAATCTTTCAAATCACTTGCTGAAGTCAAACCAGGCCAACTATTCATGTAAAAAGAAAACTTCCCATATTTATAATAGAGCCTGATTAATCTAAAAAAAATTTCCAATTGGCTGAAACTTTATTCTCTATTTTTTCCCCTTCTATTTGTATCTAATTATTTCTTATTAATCATTGCTTAATATGTATAAATCATTTATGTAAATCATTTTAACAGAAACAATTAGATTTGAGGATGACAATTTCTTAGTTCTTGCAGTTCCTGCACAATGACAATCAAGTACTTGAATCTTTTCAAAAATACAATTATAAATCATTATACTTTGTCATTATAAACTTTATATAAACAATAACTATTGATATACATTTTTCATTCTGAAAAATAATACAAAAAATAAATGCTGATGTTGATATGCCTGTTGGCTGATCTTACTGAATAACTGATACATTGGTCCGGCTACAATTTTGAACAGTCTGCGCTTCTATAGATCTGTTATATTGTTAATCTTTCTAATCCGACTTGTCCCAGCCTGTAAAAACTCTTTTCTTCTCAGTGACATAAAACTGCTGGGTCAGCCACAGTGCAATGCTCCCGAACCTGGAAAAACAAGCCTCCGAGTCCTCCGGTCTAATTGTCGTACCACTCATATGACGCATGTGGGCATCAGTGTATGGGGAGCCAGGGAAGGCTATTTCTCCCAGGAAAAACACTTTGATTGACCCGACAGCAGCAGTATGTTTCCATAAACCAACCTCCTGGTCCGTTATCCATTATAAATACGGATAGCTGTTGAACCTCAGTCGATTACAGGACTGATGCTAAATCATTACTACAAACTCTTGTGCTCTCTTTTCTGTGTAGTTGTGACTGAATCACAGGCAGCTGGCAGCAGAGAGGAAAATATCTAGAGTTGCAGAGAGCTTGATAAGGACGTTCTGCAGGTGTTTTGTGTTTCAGATAGTGCAGTGCAGTACAAGTCTGTCCTGCTAACACACTGGCAGGTTGTCTGACACATTTCCTCTGAGGGGTTCTTTGATATTGACGTTATTCTCGATGAATGGTTTGAGGAAAGCGTAAGTGATGAGAAAATGTTTCGTCTATGGATCGGAGTCATGCACAAAGACACTGGACAACCTCCATTTGATAAAGTAGATTATCTGGATAAAGTAAATAAATCATAATTGATCACATTTTGAACATAATCCTGGTTATTAGGATATCTTCCAGTTGACCCAGTAATGCTTTGTACCTGACCCAACTCTACAATATAATGGTCTCTATTATACATGCTCTGTGAATGGTGTCCATCAAAAGCTGCTTTTGTTCTGAAGAAAAAAATGTAACATAACACCTTGTCCTGACATTTTTGTCACAGTTCATGTCTCATTTATAGAACATAATTTTCACCTTGATGTCAGAACAGTGGGTATGTTGATGGATGAGTCAACACCACAGGGACAGATTTGCTTATTTAGAGTTACACGGTACATGTGTGTCTTGTCAATACATTATGGTGATCTTCTGACTCCAAGCAGAATATTAACGTTAGACAGTTCCGCAAAACCAAACATTCAATAAGGGCACTTTCACACGGATCTTTTTTGGTTTGGACCTTCTAACCTTCGTGTGAAATGGTGCTGTAGACCACAGTCTGTGGAACAGTGATTTTGGTTAGTTTTCAGTGTGAAAACACTAAAGATCTTGCAGAGTTTCTGACCAAGTGCAGGACAAAAAGTTTTCTCCATTTAAACAGAAAGACTGCTTTTTTTTTATCATTGCACTTTATTCAAAAAAAGTTAGCTTATACAAGAACTAAATTCAGCCCTCAAATATTAAATGTCCGTTCATGGTGCTCCTATTGGATCACAAAATTCTTACAAAACAAATCCTCCTGAGGTTGATAAACTCTATTTAGAATCCTGAGGCAACATTCAGTGATGTCATTGTAACACCACCCCATCATCAAAATACCACGTATTAACTGCATAATGGCGAGCATTGTTTCCTTACAAGCTTTGTGAAGTTTGCATGTTCCTCTCTGTGTTTCCTGCTACAGTGAGACAAAACACATGGTTTTGGATGTGTGGTTGGACCATATTTATATGACTTTTACCATGAATTACAGCGTGAAAGGATATCATTGCAAACTACACTCAATTGCACTCCGTCCACCTCAAGTCAAAAAGAAAAACCAAGGAATGAATGATTAAACGTTGTTTCTTTGTTGTGACTTGACAGCAACCTAGTTACACATTGTACTTGTAATCCATCCTCTAAATATTTTATGTTTTACAATGTTTGTTTGGATCGCAGCCTCGACACACATGCATGCACACCCTTCCGGACAACACACAAACACACACGTACACCTTTTTGGGGAGGTTTCGTCGCAGTCCCTCACCTCCAGTCCTACCCCGGTAGGGGAATTTGCCCATTTCCACTCATGAAACTTTCAGTGGTGCTGACGGCAAGACACAAAGCTGTTCTCGTCTGCTCTACTCGGCTCCCTTATATTATCCTTTTTTTCAACTATATCTCTTCTCAACTCATTCTTCCACTTTCCGCCCACCTCTTCTTTTCTTATCTTTCTACTCAACATACCCTACTAGTCTTCTATTGTTCCTTTAACCCTTGCTGTCCTTATGTCCAGCTCTTGTCCTCACTCCTCAACAGACAGCTAGGTTTGTTAGGTTAGGGTTTGCTGCACAAAAGGACCAACAGCATGTAATGTCTACCATACAGCATCCTTGTGAGTACAGTGCTTTTCTAATCTTCACCTTAAGGGACAGTGCACTTAAATTATGTCAGCTTGCTCTCCGCACAAGGATTCATAGATTATCCTCAGCAAGTTTTTGTAAGTGCAAAGTTCCTTTGCTTGTCAGCGTGTATTCCTGTGTTTTTTAGAGTCATCAACATGCCAACCTTCCCTCTGAGCCAGCATGTTTCTTTCTTTTTGTAGAGGATTCTGTTCTGATTCTGCACAGGCTGCTTTTCAACACAACTCAAATATGCTTTATGTGTTCACGTCCGGACAACCTGCTTTTCCTCCTCCTGCAGATTAATTCGCTTTTTGACAAATGTCCTCAACGCACAGCGAGTGTTTGGTCTCTCACAAATGCAGATAATGAACAGGAAGACCTTGCCCTTTGTGACTGAGTTTGTGTGTATGTGTTTGTGTTTCAAGGGAGATTTTAACCTGAGTGTTGTAATGTCTCCGTTGTGGTCCTCTCTCTGCGGTGTGACCATCTGTTCAGTAGCCTGATCCAGCACAAGGCGGCTTTTGCTCTTTCTCTAGATCTCTGTCATCCTCTCTCGCTGTTTTTTCCTACCTACAGTCTCTTCTTCATATTTGTCTTGTCCCTTTTTTCTTTTATCACTATCTTAAGAAAAGGAAACGACAGAAGGGAGGAATGATTCACATCAAAACACACAGATCTACACCTCTCTTCCCCCGTACACAGACAGACGGGCCGACAGACAGGGACCAAATTATCTCTGTTGCATGGAGCATGAAATTAGCAAGTAGCTCAGTGTGGCAGCATTAGCATGACTGTTAAAGGGATACTGTGACATTTTCAGCTTCTTAAACATGGTTCTCTTTCAATATCTATGGTTAAATTTCCCGGAGCAGGGAGCTGTTAAATTTTGTTAATCTACTGTGTAAGATGTAGTCATATGTGTGAATTCCAGGCAGGAGAGTTTGTCATTCACTGCAACACTAAGCAACACTATACAGCTTATTTACCTTAAAATATCAGCTTCAAAATTAGTTTGATGGTTCACCGGCTGAGTAAAAATGTCTTAGAGGTCATTAAAAAACAATATTCAGTGAGGCATCTTTTAAATTATGAAGAATTCTAAACCTAGTATGATGTATTTGTTACAGCAGCAGATCTTCTGGTTCAGGAAGCTGGGCATCATGGTTAATATCCATTGTTCAACTACGTTTCAGTTCAGTAAGTGGGAGTACACTGTCAGAGTCCCCTCTTTGTTTTGTCTCTACATGAAAACAATTTAATCACTCAGACGTGGAGTCCAGCAGAATGAATCACCACATGTGGCTGCAGAGGACGCTGTTGCTCAGTCAAAGTGACATAGTGTTGCTTTAATCAGCGGTGGCAGTAACTAAGTGCATCTAC